ATATTCTTCTAACAAAAATTTATAAAGCTTCTGGATCATTTTGTCACTTGTTGACAACCAGATCTTGTCTAGTTGTGTTTTTGATTCTTGAAATCCTGATATAGCATCCTCAGCATGTCTAGATTGAAATTGCATTGCTTCCCACCAGGTCAATTTTATTTTATGTAATTTTAATAGGGTTTCTTCTGATTTTAACTTATTATTCTTATCCAACAATATTTAATAGTTTTCTCTATCACATGGCTTTATAAGGGAAGGTTTTATAAATGCTTCTAGAGGCGATACCCATTTTGGTGTCTTTCTAAAGTATTTTTCTTTGATTTCATTCCATATCCATAATAGGGCCCCTCTTATCATTTGATGCCTAAAATTAGAATGTATCTTATTTTCCCCATATCATACGTAAGCATGCCATCCCATACTCAGGTCATGCCCTTCTAGGTTCAATATTTTAGTGTTATCTAAGATTAACCATTCTTTTATCCAGCTTAATGCTGCTGCTTGGTAATACAACTTCCAATTAGATGGTCCAAATCCCCCTCTCTCCTTTCTCTCTTGAAGTGTCTTCCATTTAACCCTGATCGTTTTGGGTACCAAATAATTTTTTATATATCTTTATCCATTTCTATAAAAATTTAGAGTTTTTCAGTATAGGAATATTTTGGGCTAAGAACAAAAACTTCAGGAGTACCATCATTTTTATAGTGGCTATTCTACCCATTAAGGATAACTGAAGGTCTTTCCATCGTAATAGATCTTTCTTGATTCTTTCAAGTAGCTTATAATAGTTATCGTCAATAATTGTACTATTTCTATCAGATAATATTATTCCTAAATATTTAATTTTTTTCACTATCTCTACATTTGTTACATTATGTAACTCTTGAGCTATCTTGGGTGTGCAGTTTTTTATTATTATCTTGGTCTTTTTCAAATTGATTTTTAATCCTGCATCATATCCAAAACACTATCTCTACATTTGTTACATTATGTAGCTCTTGAACTATCTTGGGTATGCAGTTTTTTATTATTATCTTAGTCTTTTTCAAATTGATTTTTAATCCAAAATCCTGTATAGTGTTTAATAAATGTTGACTTGATGATATTGGATTTTCCATTACAAATACGATATCGTTTGCAAACACCTGTACTTTATACTCTTCCCCTTTTATTTTGAGGCCTTGTATCTGGTTGTTTTCTCTTACACTGTTATTTAATGTTTCCAGCGCAAAGATATATAATAAAGGTGATAGCGGACATCCCTGTCGTTTTCCTTTCTGCATCTCAATTTTTGATCACATATCTCCATTTATATCACATTGGCATGTTGTATATTATATATTGCATGGATCATTGTTAGGAATTGCATACTACAGTTCCAAATCTTTAGCTTTTGAAGTAGGAATTCCCAAGATAAGTTGTCAAAAGCTTTTTCTGCATCCATGAACATTAATGCCATTTGTTTTTCTGAATGGTGTTCATAATATTCTATAACATTTAAGATTGTCCGCATATTCTTTTTTATTTGTCTTCTTGGTAGGAAACCTGCTTGGTCTTGATGAATTATCTGAGCTAGTACTTTCTTGAATCTCGTCGCCAAAATATTTGCATATATTTTATAGTCAACATCTAAAACAGATATTGGTCTACAGTTTTTAATATCTTTATCATCAGTATCCCGTTTATGGATTAAAGTAATTGTTGTTTGATACCATGAGTTCGGTAGTTTTCCCATCGATCCTATGTTTTGGAGTAGTTCTTTGAATGGTTGACTAATCTGCTCTTTAAAAGCTTGGTATAGTTCTGTGGGTAAACCATCTGGGCCTGGGGCTTTTTCTTCTTTTGTTTTTTAAATGCCTCTACTACTTCGCACGTTGAGATTCTCTCATTCAACATATCCCTATGTTTTTCCTCGAATCTCCTATGGTTTCTTTCTTGTAAATATTTACCTATTTGTTCCTCATTTTGTATCTCCTGTTTATATACATTCTTATAATATTTTTCAACAATTTATTTTAATTCTTGTGTACCATATCCTTTGTCATTTCTTAGAGCTACTATTATGCGCTTCTCTCTTTCTTTTCTAAGTCTATATGATAGCCATGTTACGAGATGGACTTATTTGTGAATAAATATTTGCTTACACAAGGTAACGCATGGACTGTGCACATTGAATTGTATGCCAAAAGCCAAAGGAAGCTGTTTTGCAAAGAGAGAGGCTTCACATGAAAAAGGACTTGCTGCCTCCTATGTTAATGAAGCAAGCACCTATTCAGGTTTTGCAAGGCTTTGTGGGTACAAGACGCACATGGTTTTCCTTTGTGTTCAGAAAACGACAACTAGGGATTAAAATCCACCATTGCTGGAGACCTGAGATGTCACTGAAGGAATGGACTGAATTTACATTGGTATGCCAAGCATCCTGTTTACAGCCTCCTGTGTTCCTGGGAAAGGCCAACTCCATTTGTACTTCAAAGGGAGATGCAGGAAACAACGCTTTACACCTAGCCAAATGGAATTCCATGAGATAGAGGATATAGAATTTCAATTGCCCCTCCCATAGGGAATACCTGCCCCTTTTCACACGCAACCAATCACTGGTAACTATGGGATGGACCTAGAGGAAGGTGGGACTCAAGCAGGCAAGCACCTCCCACCTGGAGATTTTCAACTATATAACGCAGAGCACGCTTTTAATCTCTGCTGCTGGCAAGCCACAAACCCTCCCCATCTTTCCTTTAGTCAAGGCTCTTTGGTGTGAATCTCTCTGAGATGTACAGCCAGAGACATTCATTTTCACATTAGCTGGCTTGTTCTAAGTAATGTGGACGAGCAATTAGTTCCAGGGATCCTTCCCTCCCCCTCCAATCTTCCACTGCTACAGACAAGAACTTCTGGATCAGGCAAGTATGAACTCCTAGTAACTAAGAAAACTATTTTGTATTCTTTTCTGTACTCCTAAAGGAACCTTGTACGTTTGAGTGTGTGATTCTGTTTTTGTATTTATGTGAAACCAAATATTATTTAGTAAAGAGAACAACTGATTTTACTACAAACACCTTGTCACGTTGTCTCTCTGGGAAGGATCCTCAGTTCGAAATCCGATTTCTGTATACATAGACCAAGAACCCCTATTCATTTAATCTTGCCTCTGCTGTAGATAAAGCAGTTTGGCTAACAGCCATCTTGTTGGTTTATTTGCATTTTCGAAGAAATATTGTTTCACATATTCTATCTTTTTTGCTATTTCTTGTGTTAATAGTAGATTAATTTCATGTTGTGGTATCTTTAATTTATCTTTCCCTTCTTTAGTTTCATTTTTCTTAAGTTTGTCTTCTTCACTTTTAATTTGTAGACTTAATGTCAAGTATCTTTCTTTTCATTTTTTCGTTCTCCAAGCCTCCTGATTTATGCACCATCCTCTTATGTATGCTTTAAATGTTTCCCATACTGTGACAATAGATACTTCCTGTTGTATGCTTCTCTTTAAAAATTCTTGGATTTCTAATTTAGTATTCTTTATAAATTCCTTATCTCTCAACAAGCCTGTGTTCATTCTCCATCTAGGTTTTCCCCGTATCTCTTTAAAAGAGAGTAGTATGGGATTGTGGTCTGCAAATGTTTTTGGTAAGATCTCCGCTTCTAACAATTCCCGCATCCAACCAATTGTCACCCAAGCCATATCTATTCTGGACCATGAATTATGTCTGGCAGAGTAGAACGTAAAATTCTTCGTACGTATATTTCTAGTTCTCCATGCATCAATTAAATTGTACTCTTCTGCCATATCTAGAAAGATTTTTGGTAGTACCTGACCTGTTTTCTTTTTCCTTTGTTGTGTTTTCCTGTCCATTTTCGTATCATGGACTGCATTGAAATCTGCCATAATACAAATGTTTTGCACCTCTATATTATTTAATACTTCATATAGGGCTTTAAAAAAGGTTCCTGTTTTTGATTCGGTGCATACATATTTATTATTAAATACTCTTTATCTTGTCTTCTTATTTTAATTGCAACAATCCTACCATCCTCATCTGCGTATACTAATTCAGGGGAAAGTGACTCCTTTACATATATTACAATGCCATTTTTTTCCTTCTTGCCCACTGCTATAAATTCTTTACCTAATTTCCTGCATAATAAATATTTGCCATCACTTTTTTTATATGTGTTTCCTGTAGACATGTAATCTCACCTTGTATTTTGGACGCTTGGTGGAATATCTTTCATCTTTTTTGTGGACTATTAAGTCAATTAACATTTCTCGATAGGATTTTAAAACTTTTACTTTTTGACATATCTGTTTATTTATTTTTTAAAGTTGTGAGTTTTGTTCCTATACTGATACCTTGTTAGTATATGTGATGGAATTATCTTTGGTCCTCTTCTCCATTTTTTTCCTGGCTTTTCTATCTTTTTCTCTCGTTCTTGTTCTGGTTTGTCTTCTTCTGTTTCTGTATCTAACTCTTCTTCCTCTTCTTCCTCTTTCTGCCACCCTAAGTCTTCCCCATATTGTTCCCAAAAAAAATTGTATTTTGAAAATAGAGTCAATTCATTGCCTCCTACCACCATAGGTGAATAAGACGCCTTCTGGTACCAATCATCGGTATACAATTTGATTTTTCTTCAATAGGTTTGTTAAGATTCCATACTCCTTCCTTCTCTCCCTAACACGCCAAGGTATTTCTTTTAGGAAGTTAATCTCAGCATCCTTTATCATTATTTTCTTCTCATTGGTAGCTTTAGTTATTTTGTCCTTCATTTCTCTTCTGTATAATTTTATATGTTTTATTTTTTCTTGGCGTTTTATTTTTTCTTGCATATGCTGAGTTTCTACGGTAGATCGCCTCTATTTCATTAGATATTTCTTCTTTAGTTCCTATATCTAATTGTCCTGCAAGATTTTCTATCAATACCTCCTTCAAATTTTTTGTCTAGATTTTCTGGGATGTTTTGGCATCTCAAGATCAGTGCTGCTTTGTCCATTTCCATGTGTATCAGTGTTTCCTCTATTTTATCATTTTTTAGTTTTAACTCCTGTACCTCATATTCCAATTCATTTATCTTTTTTTCTGTCTTGTAACTTTTATCCGTAATGTTTAAGATTTCCTGCCTGTTTTCACTTATTTGATTTTTAATTTCCTCCATTTCTGATTTAATGTGTTCAGTTAGAGCATCTATTTTATCATGAATAGGGTCAATTTCTTTTTTCATTGCTTGTGACACACATTCTTGAATCATAGATTTTAAATCTTTTAGTTTTAATTGAGTATAACTCATTGTGTTAATTTTCAACTGCACTTGGCTAGGAGATGGTATTGATGGTTTTCTGCTGCTACTGCCACTCCAGTTGCCATGTATTATTCTTGTTTTCGTTTTTTATTTCTATTTTATTTTTATATGTTTTATTGTGTAGCGTATCAGTAGTTACACTCTTTATTTTAAGCTATCTTGATTCCCTTTTTACTTGCTTCACCTTCTATCTATATCTTAGCTTCACTATTCTCCCACAAATCTCAGCCTTTCTTTCCTGTTATTAACCTTTCCAAGTTCTAGTTCCACTTCCTGTTTCAATCAGTCACTCTCTGTCTCTTTCTCCACTCCCCTCCTTCTTTTACCTTATTTCGAAGCCTATCCTGATAGTACGTCGTTGCTGTCTCTAGTCCCACTTCCTGTTTGCCGATTAGTTGTTTCACTGCTCGCTGTTTCCTCCCGGCTTCACGTCACGTCTCCACTCCTCTACACTCCACCTTGTCCTGAAATGCTGTTTCTCTGCCCGTCACATCAGCACGTCGTTGCATCACTCCTTCTCCTCCCTTCCTGGATCCTCTCTGTTACCGTTCCTTCAGTCTGCGTCTCGATTTTCCCCGGAGGTCTTGTCTCCTGAAATCGCTCTGTCACTCAAAATGGATCCTGGAGGTTTTTAAAGTGGTATTCCTCATACCACACCACCACAACAAAAAGAAGAAAGCAAGAATAGTTAAGTACTGATAAATATCTATGTCTCTATTTTTACTCTTCACTTTTATATTTCCTTTCCCCCCCCCAAGCTCCTCTGCAGTAAATTAACCTATTTAATAGCCGATTCCCCCCCACTCCTTGCTGCATGCAATATAATCACTAGTCAATCCACCTTTACCCCTTCTAAATCCTGCACCACAATGATATAGCAGTATTAATGTATTCTATCCACTTAGCTTCGATAATGTTGAGTAGTATTCCTTCTTCTGCCATATTTTTTGACTCCGTTGGTTCTTCTTGGGCTCCTCTTTCACTCGGCATTCTGGGCGTCGATCCTCCTGTTTCTCCCCACTTCAGAGATTGCTATTCCTTCCAAAGGTTGAGCCAACACCCCTGGAAGTTAGAAAATAATCTCTCTTCCTTGGCTCTCTCTTTGTGAGAGCTCTTGAGGTGCTGGAATCACCTAAAGAGCTATAAGTTTGGCTGTTGTGTGAGGAGCAATCCCCACACCCAACCGTTTTTGTGGAACCAGAACCAGCTTCACCCTCGAGCAGTTTCCACTTCTGTCAGTGTTATACAAACACATTCTCTATTAACTCAGAGACCAGAAATACTCCAGGATAAAACGTAGTGCTGTAAGGATTGTGGCACCTTTTCCTTGGCTGAATTCATTCATTTGTGCAATGACTGGTAGATTTTCGTTAATAGCAGTCATATTAGTGAATCTGGATTAGTGGAATCTCATGCAAAAGTTCCAGAGAGGCAACAGCTTTTGGTATAGTTGGTATGCTCTTGAAGCATGTTGCCTCAGGGTGCCCACACACATCAGTGGAGGAAAAGCCAGTCATATAAACTAATTGCTTATAAACAGTTTAGAGTTATGTTCTTAACTGGCGTTGCCAACAGGCCTGGAAAGAAATACCCTGTAACTTTAATGTGTTACAGGGCATGGAACTAAATAATACAGTTCTTCAGGGTGTGGAACTAAATCACAGAACCTGCTAAATAACACCCTCTTAAGTATGTTTCTTCTCTAGGTAGTTGGCAACCCTACTCATAAGCTATTAGCATAGTTAAAAAGTGTCTTGAAAACTACTGAATACCATTCACTAAAATAAAATCAGTATTTCTTATTTTGGTATTAAATTAATCTCCTAAACAGACAAAGCAATTTCTCTCTCTCTTTGATTGTGACTCACTAGTAACCAGCTGATGTCTTTTCCTCCTTGCAGAATCATTTGGCTCCTACCGAGAGCTTTGATGATGGATCAGTGGACCAAAGAGTCCTCAAACAAAAGTGAGTTTATGGTGCTCTCGCTAATTCCAGAGATGCTTCTGTCTTCACAGAGACACAAATATTCCTACCTTGTCAGGAGCCTATAAGATGCTTATGCGTAAATGGTTGGTCAGCACTGTTGCTAAGACTACCTTCTTCCAGATATATCTAGCTCAAAGATGACCCCCCTGCCAGAGCCTGGCCTGGCTGATCTATATGACTGTAGCCTTAACGCTTGATCTCTGAAACACTCTTTGTATTGGACTGCCCTTAAAAACAACTTGGAAGAATCAGAGCACAGCAGCTCTTCTTTTAAATCATTTCCAGCATATTATGTATATTTTGGAACAGCTGTGTTGCTCAATTTAAGTTGCTGGATTTCACATTTAAACCCTTCATGGCCTGTAACCCATTTATCTGAAGGACTGTCTCTCCCCATATGAGACTCTATGCCAGCTCCATTTCTCCCATCCATTCCTTCTGTCTGTGTTCTCCTACAGACAGGGTGTTCTCAGTGGACCAGGTGCTTCTTTGGAACAGGCTGCTATTGGAAATAAGAACTGCACCTTCCCCATCTGTTTTTAGAAGAGTAAGCAAGACTGCACTACTCTGGAGGATTTATTTTTCCTGATTTCACTGCTGTTTATATTGGATATGGATTGCTGTTGTGATTGATGAGGTGGGTTATGATCTCATGTTTTGCTGTTAATATTTTGTATGCATTTGAGCATAGTATTATGAAGTTGGTCTACTATCTAGGAAAATGTAATAACCAAACTTTATGTATTGAAATTCTTTTCAAAGCAGCAAAATCCTAGAAAAAGTTTTTCTGGTGAGAAAAAAAAAGATGGAAATAGGAGAAGGCAGGAATGATTCTGGGTAGTTGTGGCTGTTGGCCTGAAACGAGCAGGAGATGGGAGATCTCCCCTGTGACCACAGAGGAAGGTTTTAATGGTGGAGAATAAAACTGAAAATGGACAGAGCTTTACAGAGCTGATCTCCATCAATGGATTATAGATAGACCAGTGTCTCGTTTGCAATGAACCTCATCCCTAAGTCTTTATACTCTTTAAGTATTTGAAAGGCTGTCACTTAGAAGAGGGTAGGGAGCTGTTCCTGTTGGCAGTGAACAATAGGACTCACAATGATGGGTTTAAATTATGGGCAGAAAGGTACCAGCTGAATATTAGGGATTCTTTTTTACAGTAAGAGTAGTTCAGCAGTAGAATCGGCTGACTAGGGAGGTGGTAAGCTTCCCCTCTTTGGGAGTCTTCCAAAAGCAGCTGAATGAACTCTTGTCAGGGATGCTCTAGGCCAGGGGTAGCCAAACTGCAGCTCAGGAGCCGCATGTGGCTCTTTCACACGCATTGTGCGGTGTCTGGCAGGGCAGCTAGGGAAGTGAAGGGGAAGAATGCCTCCCTGGTTGGTCTTCCCTTCCCCAGCCAGTGTTCCCTTCCCTGGGTAGGTTTGAGAGGGGGGGGGAGGAGAGAAAGAAAGCAACTTTAACTTTAAATGTGTTCTCAAAGCCCACCCTCCTGTCTTGGAGAAGGTATTTGTATCTTTAAATCTCTTCTTCAAGCCAAGCCAGCTGGCATGGGGGCATGATGGGAGCTGGAGAACACATTTAAAGTTAACGTTGCTTTCTGTCCACCTCTCCCTCCCTCCCTGTTTATATTCTCTCCATCTCCCTCCTGCTCTCCCCACCTCTCCCTCCCCCCATCTATTTGCTTTCTTTCCACCTCTTTCTTTTCACCTTTCTTTCTCTCTTTCTCTCTTCCTTCCTTCCTGCCCCTCCCTCCCCATCTATTTTGTTTGTTTCTGTTTTTTCTCTCTCCTTTCTTTCCACCTCTTTCATTCTTTCCACCTTTCTTTTTCTCTCCTCCTTCTCTCCTCCCTCTCCCCTCCCTCCCCATCTATTTGCTTTCTTTCCACCTTTCTTTCTCTTTTTCTCCCTCCCTCCCTTTCTCTCTTTCTTCCTTCTCCCTCCCTCCCCATCTATTTGTTTTCTTTGTTTCTCTCTCTTTCTTTCCACCTATTTAATTCTTTCTTTCCACCTCTCTCACTCAGTCAAATATCATTAGCAAACAAATAAATATCATTGGACAAATAAATATCATTATCAATATTGGTTTTTACCCCTTTTATGTTTATTTTGGCAGTCTCATTTAATGTTAATAAAAGGCAATTTTGCATATTTTGCCATTAAAACATGTGTGTGATATTTGTTCATGTATTACAGCTCTCAAACATCTGATGTTTATTCTATGTGGCTCTTTACGTTAAGCAAGTTTGGACACCTCTTCTCTAGGCTGATCCTGCATTGAGCAGGGGGTTGGACTAGATGGCCTATGTGGGCCCTTCCAACGCTATGAATCTTGTAAGCTGTTCAGTGCACTGAGTGGACACTGTGGTCACATGTACTAGATCCTCATTCTGTCTGACTGTACATACCAGAGTACAGTTTTTAATATTATCTTTTAATACTTTTAATAAATGGCATCAGTTAACAGTGTTAAAAATACAACCCATGATCATAAAAACAGCATTAAACAACCACTGAGCTGCTGAAAACTATCCTTAAAACAGTCCTCAGGCTAGAAGCAAGAACTAAATAGATCTAAAAGGATAAAACCTTTTGTTAAAAGCCTAGTTAAAAAGAAACATTTTGGCCTGGCCCCTAAAAGAGAGTAATGTTAACTTCTAAAGCATTTAATTTTTTTAAAAATATATTAATATAAACAATCTGTTACAGAATCGAAAATCACAATGACCAACCATCTAAATTTTGTTGCATTGAAGGAATTACATCCTTAGCACATAGAGTATAGAGTATAGTGATTTTCTATAAAGAAAACTAAAATGCATGCTTATAATCCAAACTGTATTGTACATCCAAACTGCATTGTACAAACTGCTGTATGTGAGAGCCCTTTTTTGTGTGGCATATATAATGGTACTACCGTGTTTCCCCGAAAATAAGACACTGTCTTATATTTATTTTTTCTCAAGAAGACACACTAGGGCTTATACCAAAAATGCATAGAAATCCTGCTAGGGCTTATTTTTGGGGTAGGTCTTATTTTCGGGAAAACAGGGTAGGAGCAAGGCCCATTGCAGCAACTATACAACGACCTCTAGACAGATGGGGGGCGTTTCCCCCCCCGGCCCTCCGCTTTGTACTCACTCCACAGACCCTGGAGGTGCCATGGCAAGGGGATACCCTGGCAGTGGCTCTCTGCCCAGGCAGTCTCCGAGCACACAGGGGGGCATCGCTCTGTCTCCTCCCCCCGTCTTACAGTCCGCCCCATATCCTTCGGACCCTTTTCTCTGGAGTGTCTCCTCTTGGGGCCGTGACCCTCTCCCCTCTCCTCAGTGGCATCTGGCTGTCCTGCTGGGCTCCTGCCCTTGGTGGCGTCCCGAGTGGCATGCGCTGTCCCTGGGGCAGCCATGGCACTACTGCTAGCTGCCTCTCCCCCTCCCTCCCTTCCCGCCCGCCAGACTCCTTGTGATGCTGCTGCTGTGGCCGGGCCGAGCAGAGGTGGTGACAGAGAGGAGGCCACAGCAAGGCAGGCCATGGTGCTTTTGGTTCGTCTCCCTCTTCCACCTCCCCTGGCCTGGGGCCCGGCTCTCCACAGTCCTCGCATGATTGGGTGGCCGCAGGAGGGAGGTGTGAGGAGGCCACAGCATAGTCTGGGGAAGAAGGCAGTGGCACAGGCCAGGCGGGCTCGGGCCGGGGCCGGAGAGAGCCAGCAGACCATGGTGAGGCCAGCCAGGCCTGTCCTCCTGGCTCCCCACTGCCATTGGGATAATTGGAATGTAAGACGTACGTGTGTTGCTGCCTGCAGCCGGTGGAGGGTCCATCTCATCGACGTGTGTGTCTCAGTGCCTGCGCCCTCTGGAAGGTCCATCCCATCCGGCATCTCAGTGTAGACTGAGGGCGAGAGGCTGGCGGGGGCCTCTGTGGATGGGACTCTGCAAGGCAAGCAGCCAACCCAGCCAGCGCCTTCTGACTGGCAGTTCATGCGGCCAACTGATTTTGGCATGCATAGAACATTGCCACCCCAAATGCCTTTTATATATAAGGAAGGATAAGCACTTGTGTGTCCATTATAATGAAGCAAATGACAATGCTAGCAAGTCCACAGGTCTTCAAAACAAAATGGGGAAGTCTGTATAATGAAATAATAATAGCTATTTCTACTCTTGACAGAAAAAAAAACATGAAGCATGTTTTGGCAAGATACAAAGCATTGCAATGGACAAATTCATATATTTTGCCTGAGTTTCCTTATGATGTCAAATGCATATTAGCAGAAAGAAAATATCCTGACCACAGTATGAGAATAAAGACAATTGAATTCTTGCAGGCTGACATGACAAAGTACCTTGAAGGATCACTGTAAGTAAGGTTTTTTTAGCATTCTCCCTCATGAATGTAATAGGAGTACAGGGTGAATTTCCATAAGGATGATCAATCAGTCCCTGGAAGTACTGGACTTTGGCTCAAAGGCTATTTGGAACTTGAGCATAGCTAATGAGTAGAGTGGAGCTGTACCAGACTTCTAAGAGAATAGGGGTGCAGCTGGGAAGATGGCCAGGGTACAGTATCAGATATCCAGTTTCCTGTTAAACACTGCCCCACCCCACAGGGAGAGATAATGGCAAAAGGAGGGGCATACTGGAATTTTTACAGTATTTAAGGTTCTGGTTTCTGTATGTGGTGTTTTGTTACTTCTTAAACTTATTTTAATATTTTGGTATTATTTTCTTTGTCGATGAATCACTTTGAGCTTACATAAACAGGTTTTTAAATGAATACATAGAAATATTTTTGAAAGACAGTAGGGACTTCTGAGGTAGTACACAGGGAGGGCTATGGCTTGAGTCCCTGAAGAGGGAGTCTTTTTTGGATGTTGTCAGGAAGTTGTGCCAGAGGCCCTGGAGCCACCTGGCACAGGCAATGATGGCTTGGACAGTGGTGGTACGATATTACCCACTCTACAGCTGTGTGCCTGTGTGGTGCTGAAGGAGAAGCCCCAGTGCTTGAGTCACTACCTCCTACGTCAGTGCTTTTTTAAAGGTGCCAGTACCCATACATAAGGTTGCCACAAAATCCCTACCCCCTTCAGAATAGAGCTCAGCAGTGATAGCTGTAGTTCTCCATAGGAGTCTGACAAACAGTGCCCCTCCACCAATCCTGTTTCTCCCTCCTTTTTCTCCCTCATAATACTAGCCTTTGTGCTGCTCTAATGTTTCCATGACACTGACAACACCCAGGCTTCCTTTAAAAAATATTAAACTATAGTCTTTTGTAACACCTACAGTCATAATCCTGTAATGGTATAAAAATGTGTAAGGTTTGCCACGAGCTTGTTAACATGATTTTTTGCCAGCATAAACAAATGGTTTTGCGTGGGTGTGGATTTGAAGGGTCTTTAAATATAAAGATTGCTAAGGCTTATAAATTTGATATTATTTGAAGACCGATATTGCCATGAATGCAGAGCTCTCTTCCTGTGTTACCAATGTCTGTTTTCAGCCCAAGTCTTTAAATTGCTGTCCTTGGGCACTGTAATTTATACCTCTTGTGTGGACAGGTATCCAACCGCTCAGCAGTATAATGATGTTGTCAATGGATTCTTGATCAAGATGGTTGTGGCTTTGTAAGTATCAAAACAAACATGGTAATAATCCTGTGTTTCTTATTGTGAATCAAATGTATGATTACTTTAATTTGGATATTTGAAGGGATTCAGTTGAATGGCACTAACAATATGCATTGCTCATAGGCTACAGTCACACAAGCAGTTTGTCGCAACTTACTAGCATTACCTGTGCTGATTTAAAGGGCTCGATCAAATGACAACATCTACCTTCCATGACCCAGTCATCGGCAGCCCATCCAGCTCCGCATTAGAACCGGAGTAAGCAGACACCGGAGAAAGTCCAGTAGTAAGGGATAGTAGTGCTTCCACTCCATTTTGTATGATGTCTGAATGCTCCCAGCATGAAAGGAACCCGAAACAAAAGTGTGAATGGGCACTTCCATCTCATTCACGTGTTGCAGAGCTAGCTAACAAAGCAGTTGTTCAATTATGTGGTTATGTGCATGCACAATGGTGATTTTTAAAAAAATTCCCACTGGCACAATGCATCCCGTGGCTGACACGCAACACTACTGTGGATGGTTGACCTTGGGGCGGCTGTGCAGGTAACCCACAGCAGTGTGTGCTGTCTGGTTGGTATGCCTCGCAACAGTTTAAGCCGGTGCAATTAGAGGTGCCACTATATCGCACCAAGCCGCCAGTGGAGGATCCGCTTCTCTTTAAACTGAATTAAATTTAATGGTGACCTCATTGACTGTTGGCTGCATTCACTAAGAATGCTTCTTTTACCCTAAGTATGCTTGAAATTTCTGAGCTCTTGCGCACCTTTGGTGTCATGGGAGCCACAGCAGTGGTGCTTCTTTCTGCACTGCTATGAGAATTTGGAAAGCTCTTGGCCATGCAAGAGGAGCCCATGATGTTGCACCTCCATATTAACTTGGAAAGAAATCCAGTGTGGACCCTTTTTGTTTCCTTCTGGGCTTGTCATATTACTTAGCATTGTGGGAGGGAATAGTGTAGTTGCTACAGTTTCATATTACTGTATTAAAGAACAAAGTCAAAGATCTGCAGTGTTAGCCAAATTGCTTGTTATTTACAGCAATTGGCAATTTATAAATGGGTTCTTGCCAATTTATACCAAGGTCCTGATCCCACCAAGGGTTACCAGTAAAGGATTCGAGGCTGTTGTGATTAAAATAGATGTCTTTTACTTAAAAATATATCTCATACAAACAATACTGATGCACTCACACATTCAATCAAGTTCCTAAGAGTTACAGTATGAAATAAGCACAGTTGCATTAGCAGGTAGGGGTGATGGTGGGTGATACTTATCTGTCTTGCAGCTTGGTTGTTCCAATGAAGAATGGATGGGAAGAAATGGAAACAAAGGGAATCCACACACCAGAACCAGCCGGAACGCATGGGCAGTAGAGGCAAGGGTTGGGGATAGCAAGTGGGACTCAAGAGGGGTAAAAGCAGACAGGGGTCATCTTGGGGGGAGTGTTAGCTAGGAGGAGTCTGGTGACTGGTTCTCTCCTTTTATAGGGGGTCCAAGAGGTGGGTGGTAACTGTGCCAACCTCTTGACCCACCTACCTGTTAGTCCATCCCAAAAACAATCCTATTGGTTGCAGGTAGGGAGGGGAGGTTACCTAGGAGGGATGGCCAATATTGTAACCTAAAACCTTACTCGAAGTATGGCATCTGGACAGGTGTGAAATCCAGGCGTCAGGATGCTTCCTTGTAATGCTGATGAAGTTGGCCAGTTCCTTTGATAACCAAATGTCCATCTGGCAGGAAATGCCAGCTCAGGAACAAAGCAGCTGATGGGTAGTACGTGACCACAAGCAGCTTTGTCATGGGTGTGTTTCTTCCTAGAGTTGTTGTTTCATTGCTCACAATAATGGAGGTTTCTGCTTCTTGACCAGGCGGGGCAACTGTGTTGCTGAAACCTTATTTACATGCAAGGTATGTGCAGGCACCCTCTATGTGTGACATCACAATAGGTGACCTAAAGTGTACAGCTTTCTGAGCCTATGTATATGTGCACAGTCCATTGTGTGTAGCAATATGCAGTCCATAAAGCAAATATCAGGCTTATTCTCTAACAGCAGAAATGTTCTATTGGAGATGGGCATCAAGGAAGACATGTACTCTTGGAAAGGCAGAAATGGCAGTTTCTCTGCTAGCAGCTGAACTGAATATGGCAGCAATTAAAGAGCCAGTGCGCTGCCCTTCTAAACACACCTTTGGTTTGTGACTGTATTGGAGCTATGACTTGGATACAGTGGAAAGGTAAACAGTGCTGTTCTGCCTGTGAAAGACCTTGTGCAACACCTAGCCCTTTCCTCCTGATACCTTATAGTGCTCCCAAATTGTTTGTTTGTTTGTTTATTTATTCAATTTATACCCCACCCTCCCTGCCGAAGCAGGCTCAGAGTGGCTTACATAAAAATTAAGATAGATGAAGCAAAGCATTTATAAAACCATTAATAAAGTGCTACTATACAAATTGCATTAAACAATGGTGATACACAGTATAATATCAATCATAGCGAGGAACAGTCAGCAGTGATTTTAGGACTGTTATCTCTATCTCATGCTAGTTTCAATTTATGCCAGTGAGGCTGATGATGGTTCCAGACATAGGGTCATAGTCCTATATTCAACTATTAGGTGTGGCTCCTCGATCGAATGCCTGGTGGTCCATCTTGCAGGCCCTGCAGAACTGTAAAAGGTTTCATGGGGCCCTAATATTTTACAGGTGCTCATGCCCCAGCACGGAGCCACCACCAAAAAAGGCCCTGGCTCCGGTCATAGCCAACCTGGCATCTTTAGGAGCAGGGAGAGCCAAATTATTTTGAGACCCTGAATGCAGTGCTCTCTGGGGAACATGTGGGGAAAGGCGGTCCCTCAGGTATTCAGGTCCCTGACCATAAAGGGCTTTATAGGTAAGAAGCAGCACCTTGAAGCAAATTTGGTGTGCTATAGGCAACCGGTGCAGTGCTTTTAGTGCAGGTCGGATGTGCTCCCGCACAGGGATTGGACAGATTCATGGAGGATGGGTCTATCAGTGGCTACTAGGCATGGTTACTAAAGAGAACTTCCGCATTCAGAGGCCATAAACCTCTGAACACTGGTGTCAGAAGGCAACATCAGGGAAGGCCTCCGCTTATATGCCTTGCTGTTGACCCTCCAGAGTTACTGGTTGGCCACTGTGTGAGACAGAATGCTGGAACAAATGGACCACTGCTCTGATCCAGCAGGGCTCTTCTTGTGTTCATATGAATGTTTTCCTGTGAGTAAAACTCTCTGCATATATCTGGAAGTAGGCTGGGGTGGAACATATCTCCCATGATGCGCTAGTAATTTATTTGCAGCGGGTTTTTTTTTCCTTTTTAGTATGTGGGAGCATTCAAAAGTGACATCCCCTACTTTCATTATGAAAATGAAATTGTATGATACCTTATATCTTCTCACCCTGCTGCTTGTGTAAATGGGGTCTGTCATTGTAAGTAATGCTGACTGTCCCTCCTATTTGAAATGCTTTAATTTCTACAAAGGAAAAAGGCAGCAGAGATTGTGCATGAACAGGCCAATTGTGTAGGTACTTAGTGGAGTACTGAAGACTACGTTGAAAAGGTATTGTGCTGAAGCTAACAAAATAGCATACTTTGCTAAATATTATTCATGCTAATGGTAGCGGGCAGTTACTGCTGATATCAATCTGTACTTAAGAAATATCAACTGCATTACCTTCCATAATGGTAACCTAGTAGATGTCTTCACTTACCTGCATTTGCTTTACCTTATCCAGTGGTTAATTCTAAAGATATTTGAACTGCATCCCAGTTTCCTCCCCCCACATATGCTATTTCTGATTATCAACTACACCTGATAATTACTAGTTTTGTTCTCTTACTGGTAAGAGTAAATTTAGTAACACTATTATAGTCTTCTTATCAACTTAAAATTACCATTTCTTCTAAAAGATCAGCATTTAAATTAATTAATTGTGGCGACAATAAGAGGTGGTTTCTTTCCCCATGTTTTTAGCTTAATGCATGATAAACACTGAAAATTGGCACAGAAGAATGTTTCTAATTTGGAAAGTAATTATAAATAAGGAGCATAGTATCTACAGGACTAGAATGTGCTTAAGTGTTCCAGTTTTGTAGGAAGACTCAGCAAAATCACGGCTACAAATTATGGTTACAAGCAGAGGGCTTTAGTTTGTGAGAGACATTCAAAGATGCCATTAACTCTGGGGGAATAACACAAAAATGTTTTTAGGATTCTGGAAAGAAATGTAAAGTAGACAGCTGCTTTACTATTGAAGGTATTAATGAATTCCTTTGATATAATGGACTCAATACTACCTCTATAAAAACGGGAATGGGCTGGGGTGCAATCTATTGTAATGAAGGATGAGAATCATTGAGGTGGATAATTAAACTTGAACATGTATTACCAAAATAAAAATGTCTTGCCAAGTTGATGAATGGCACTGTCTAATAGACTTCTGAATATTTTAACAGGCTGAAAATATTTACAAAAAAGAGTTTTTGAGTTTGATGTTGAGATGAGTGAACACATTAATTGGTTTAATGAAGAATACATGAAAACTGAAATAAATTGGGTAGAAGTGGACAACAGGATAGGTGAGACTTTAGAAATAAGAAGAAAAATGA